CCTATTTCAATATAAGTTATAAGTGAGTGAGCACTTTTGGGAGCCACTGTAATTATTAAAAATTATTGATATATAATCACCTGAAACGGTTTTCTTTTCCTTAATGAAAATATATTAAACAATACTTATCCAAGGTTTTATTGGTTATTCTGATTTTGTCATTTTGTAGGTACACTTTAAGCAAATACTACTTAAAGTAGCACATTAAATTCAATAAAAACAATTAAAATTATTCAATAAAAACAATATATTCTGCAAGCTAAACATATTATTTTCTCCACGTCTTAATTTTTTAAAAATTAATGTTGTACCAGAGCATTAAAAAATAATGAAAAAATATCTTGTAAGAAAATGAATTTTTTTTCAAGATATGTTTAAAAAAATGACATTTTGAATAAGATATTTTATAATAGAGACACTTTCCTTGTACACATCCTACACTTTATAAGAAAAAAGGAAAAAAACACAAACCTGGAAATTTTAAGATTTTTACCTGGAAAAATCAGGAAGATTTGAAATCTGATTTGAGTGGCCACCCTGAAAACATGACACACATTGAAACCAAGTGTGATATTATTGTTAAATATTTTACTGAATAAACAATTGCAAAATGATATAAAACAATGTAGCAATGTCCTAATTAATTTTTGCAGACCATGATTAAAGCTACAAAATCAGATATTAAAACCTACTTTCTCAGAATAAACATTCCTTTTTTGAATGTATTCAAATTCTTGACCCTTTATAATAGAAGAGAGAGGTAGCAGCAATCTGAAAAAATAAGGTCCGAATAGCTATTCAAAGTTTTGATCTCTTTAATGTTATTTTTACTTTTTATATTTCCTCTTTGTATCTCTTTATTTAATTGCATTAATCAATAATTTTTTATATGCATTTATAAAAGTTGCATAACCAAAGATGATTTCACCTGAAAAAATTAAACTTTCTTTTTAGAAAATTTTAAAGGTGAAACATTGCAATAAAGTAAATAAGGATTTTTATTAATAGTATGTAAATAAAGGATAAAGACCTATTAGCAAATTACGTATGCAACTTTTTTATCATAACAACCAGTGTACCTATCATATGACCACTTCTAAGTTTTAAAATATGTAGTCCAATGCCTTATGAGTTTGAGTAGGTTAGCAAATGCAGGCTTGTTGTATGCAAGACCAAATTGCGGAGCTTAGTTAACCACATTACAAAGACTGTGCTACAACAGCAAAGTGGCCAGACTTAAAACTTTCATTGTAAACACACAGTAATGCAAAAAAGAAAAAAACAAGTGAACAGGATAAAATAGAAAATTGTAGCAACCTGTTCCAAAATACAGATGTAGATTACTTTTCCCAGCAGCAGTTTGGTGATCTCTTAAAATGCTTTGTTTTTATTTTTGCACATCTCTTTGAGTACCGGCTTGGTATATTCACTCTTTTACTTGAGCTTTTGTTTCTTATGATGAATGCATGACCTAAGTGGCTTGGAATTCTCTTTAATGTTTTTTTTTTCTCCAATGCCCACTGGGGAATGACCTTTTGTCAATGCAGGCATCTGAAGAGCAGATTTGTTGGCCACTCTTTCAGGGGCACGCTATCTGGTGGGCCAACATTGGACAGATAGTACAGAGAATGATAGAACACCCATGCCTTGCAAGGGATTCGAACCTAGAACCTTTCTGATGCAAGGCCAGTTTCTTGATCCCTACACTGTCCGGTCGGCATCTTCTTTAATGTTATTGATTATGATTTCAAAGCTTTACAAGTTTGTAAATGGTTGGGAGGTGTAGTGCATAGACTACCTGTCCTTTTATCTAAATTGAGGTTGTGTAATGTGTGTGTGTGCAAGTGTTGCCTTCGGATTATCATTGATCTCAAATTGGTACTATTTGACCATTAGTGAGACATTATCAACCAAACCAAATTCTTTGTGAGCATGTCATATTGGGGTCTAACTATCTTTATCTGTGTGTAAATATTACCTTTAAGGGTTTCACTTGATTTGTATATGGTATGTATTTGAAAGGCTAGCAGAAAAAATCCAAAAATTCATAAAAACGTATACATTTTTTTTGAAATTACACTTATTATTAAATCCATAAAAAGTATAATTCTACTTACTAGGCTTCTTAAAGTGCTGAATTTGATTTATTTTTATAATTACATGCAAGTGATATTTTTGTGCATTGCTAAAATATTTTTTAAAATCCTTGATTCCCTGTAATATAGTGTGTTCTTTTCAGGGTATGGAATGCTGTAGTGATACTGCTGTATCTTTCCACTATGTTAGTCCTAATATGATGTATGTCCTAGAGTATCTCATCTACCATCTTCGTCCTTATGGCATCAGTAGTCACATAGTAAAGATACCAGATGCTTCCCAGCAGCCTCCTTTTCCCTCAATAACTACTAACTCAACTGCTAGTCCAACAATAATTAAAGAGAATCAGACTGAGAAAAATTCTACCAAGAATTCTCCTTAATGCTTGTTTTAGGGTTTTTAAATTATGAACATTTTTAAAAAAAAAATATCTTTTGATTGAACATTATTGTGCACATGCTGCAGAAGTATTAATATGTATACACACTTCATAAAAAAAAAAATTATGACTCAAGATTCGCTGCCGGTGATACTGTGAACAGTATTTTTTTTAAAAATTGCATTAGTTTCTTCATTTTATCTTTTGTAGAATTTTTATATAATTTATGAAAATTAATATGTGATTTTTTTTTTTTACAATGAAAGAGATTTTTAAGTTTAAAAAATTGTAAGAATGTTTTAATTATTATTATTAGGCTCTGATGATTGTGAGACATTTTTATTAGTTTGCATAAAAATAAGATTAACTGAATATTGCAGTGATTAAAAAATATGTCATTATTGTCTGAACAATGTGTTGTCAGCTTGTGTTGATTTTTTACCTCATGCATAATTAGCTTGCAGCCTCATTTTCGACTTTATAGCAATACAAAAAATACAAATATTTATGATCAGAATATCAAATTTCCCTTTTACCAAAACTATTTTGAGAAGTATTTTTGATTGAGCTTTCCATTTTTATATTAACTTAAAAAATACAATGATATAAAATTACAAAAAAATTTGTATAGAATTTTCCAAATTTTTTTTATTTTATTACATGGCCTATTTTAAGTAAAACTTTTTATACAAAAGTCACATCATATTGTCTATTTTGGTGCTACATTTTCTTTTTGGAATTTATATTCCACAGTCAATTCAGTTCCATGAACAAAATTTGCTTATTTACTTTAAGATGTTTTAAGACTTTTAACGCACGCATATACTAAATTTGCAATATTCTTGTTTACTGTGTTATATATTTCAATAAATTCAGTTAAAAAACAGAGGAAATTTGATGAAAAAGCAAACGAAACAAAAAAAAAAATATGTTGATATTAGTTAAATATTAATCATTAATTTTTTGTGCATGAGTTTTTTTTCCCTTCTACTTTTAAGAAGCTCAAACATTTTACATAAAAAATATGCTTAATAATGTTAACTTTTCAGTATTAATTTTTATTGATTATTCAATTATTTTGTTTCACATCTTGCTTGGTATTTTATTCTTTCACTTTGAACATTGTATAATTGTAGTATTTAAAATTTTTTTGTTCCTAAATCGTAATGACGTAAAACATTTTTCTGCAACTTTCAGAAAGTAGTTGACTTAATTTGTTGATATCAATGAAGCAACGAACTATAATTGGATAAAAAACAATGGAATTTATTTTTCTCTCTTTTTCTTTTTAATATTCTATTGACGACTGAACACATTGTGAATCCAACGAACAAAAACATGTTTTGTTAGTATTATGGCATTATAGGTACAAATCCCCTCTGATAATTGGCAGAACAAAGAGAGGTCACATGTCTATAGAACACTTCAGTTGAGACAGAATTCACCATTTAGTTGCTAATTGAAGCATCCTTACTTTGTCATATTGTGGCAAAGCCTGTCGGAGAAAGCCTAGATTACATTAAAAAATATAATGGATAGTATCTTTTAGAATGCCATCAGACAATAATAATGGCTCCAAAAACTTTCAACTGACCAATTACATTGAAGATGAGATCAGGTCTCATTCAGCTTACACTGTCAGCTATCCAATCAATTAATTTTGACCCTTCCCTGCAGTATAAGTAACCGATTCTGCACTATTACTAAAAAAAAAAGAAAGGAGAAAGCAGAACACCAGGAAATATTTCAACTACCACCTATTTTACATAAAACCGATGCAACGGCACATTTAAGAATACTAAGTATTAAAACTTACATGAAAATGTATGCTAATTTCTAATTTGAGATTATTGGTGACATCTCTGCTCTAAGTAAACTAGCAGAAAAGGTATAATCAAAAGATATCCTAGCTATAAAAACATCGAATTTCGATTATTAGCATCAGTCAGGCCACTCTTTTAAGCTCGTGATTGACTGAACGTTACAATATATTTCGAAAGTGTAGTGCCTGATTATGAAACAGAATAATCTCATACTGATTAAGTATTTACTTACCAGCAGAAATTGAATTTGAGAAGCAACATCAATCACACTAATAATCAGTTGCAAAAGAGTTTTTTTTAAATTTTCATTTATAAGCCTGGTTTGATACCTCAATTCCTTTTTCATCATAGAAAAGAATTGTAAGCATTTCCAAATAATTTTTCTTGTAACATTGGTAGACAATTGCACAATATTTCTGGCACTGATTGGAAAAAATGGTCTTGCGATTCAAGTTTTTATTTTTTCCTTTTTTGGTAATTTTTTTTTTTTTTTCGGATATCTTATCATTTATGATAAAAGTATCAATTTCGTTAATATATTTTAAAATCTGTCGAAAATTGCCACCTCCTTGTTGGCAAGAATCCTGCATGATTTTGGCATTGCCCTTGTATGACTTAAGTCAACGCTTCCATAACTTATCTTAGACCATTTCAGGTTGCCAGATTGTAAGTTAATTGCATTTAAAAGGATGCATCCTAATTCGTAAAAAAAAAAAAAAAATCTTTATGGATTTATTTTTTTTATACTTCTTTCAGTATTATCAACTTAGATTCCCTTTTCATTATGTTTATTTGTTTGAAAAGCACACATATACTTTTCAAATTTTTATTTGTTTCATTATTTAATTTCTTATGCTTTTAGTAGCAAAGAAATGAAGGTGAAAATAATTTTCAGATGTCAGTAGAACCTTGAATAGCTTAACTTGTTTGATTTTGATTACCATTATTAACCTAAGTCGGATTCTTTTTCTTTTCTCAATTTCAATAATATGCTTGTCATGAGATCTTCAAAATGAATAACCCTCTTTGTACTGCATGGTTTAATGTGTGCAACTAATAAACGGTTTATTATTTAGTGGAGCAGGCTTTGCTCAAGACAATTTTTGTTTTTTCATTATTATTATATATAGTCTCATCATCCTCTCTTATTAAAGATTATGTTATCAGTGCAAGCAAAATATAATGATCATAGTGCGACTGGAATCAATGAAGAGCCTTACAAAGTTTCCAAAGATTTTAAAAGTAAACTAAATCTCAGCTAACAATTCAGATTATCAAATTTTATTTGAATTTATATTTGTTTTGAATTTCAAGGTATCAAAAAGGCATTTTCATACTAAAATTAAATTTAAATACTATATAGCACTGTTATTAAAAAGAAACTTAAGCTGATAATTGATGATAAATTTTAAAAAAAAGATGAAAGAAATAATATCCCTACAATCCTAATATTTCAATAATTCTATTATGACTGGCCCCAATTCTTTTGAAAAATTGAGGTTTAAAAAAATCTTCATTTTCAATTTTTACACAATCAAGTATGTAAGCCTTCCTTGTATACTTTCCTTGTATACTTATATACTTTCTTGAAAGTATGCTATGTTGCTAGTGGTATTAAAGTTTATTATATTTTGAAAATTATATTCGTAAAGTAGGGAAATTACTGCATGTTACCCTAACTTTTATTCAGGTTTAACACTAAAATTAAACTACTAAGTGCCTTTACGACAAATAAAATTTAAATATTGCTGTATTAAAATATTTTAAAGCAAAAATTAATTTTTCTGTATTGGTGTTAAATAATAATTTGTATTTCTTAAAAATAGGGCTATTTAAGAATGTATCTAAATTGCGATTGCCAAAGTTGAAATTTCTATACTCCGTTGCAAGTTAAGAAAAGACCATTTAGGATTTAATTAATCATCCGCGACTGCTTATAGTTCCATTTTATTTCGTTATCAAAATATACAAATATGCTTTCAAAACTATATAAAAGGTTTTTAAAGTTAAGCACTTCAGAGAGAAATTTAAATTTTGCTATCTTTTACGATATATATCACAGAATTATTGAAAAAAAGGTTATAGTTTCAGTCTTACTGGAATCCTAGACTTGGGACATATTTCGAGAAATAGGAACAACTATATAATGTTGCAAGAGCATTGGATTTTATTGGACCACTAAAAGTGGCACGTCTTATGCTGACATGCTCTTAACAAATCAAATGTGAGATAATGAATTTTTACTCTTGTTTGGCTGTAGAAGAAAATCGTCTGCAATAAACATTATTTGTTATTTCATCAGTATCTTTATATGCAAACAGAAAGGCGTATATTTGTTTCAATTTTTAAATATCATTTTTATTAATTCTCAATACTTGTTAAATGATTCTTCAATAAGTTTCGGTTTCCTCATTTTACACAATTTAAGAAAGCAGCAAAATAAGAAGGCTGTGCAACGTCATTTCAAGAGTTGACAATGTTGATATTCGTTTGCGCTGGGAGATTGATATCCATTTGGCATGCACTTAAATGCAGACAGGCTCTCGTCATAGGGATAATGGTTTTTTCTTTACTAGTAACAGAATATAAACATGTATTTTTGATTATTTCAGCTTTATTCTGAAGAAAAAAGAGATTAGTTATGATACAAATACTCTGCATAATAATACCATATCTTTCTCTATTTTTTAACAAGGAGGTATCAAACAAGTAAATTAAGCTATTGCTTAAAAAAATGTTTGTGTTAAGTATATTGAAAATGTAGAAAGAAAAACATGCTATAATTGTAATGTATTTTTGAATGGTGTGTTGCTATTTTTTTATTATTATTTTTTTGTTTGTTGATGTATAGTAAGGTGGGAAGCTAATAATTTAAATTCAAAGACTTAAATGCCTGTATATTCTTCAAAAACCATGTTGTCTATGTAATATAAATGATGCTAAATTATGCAAAGACCGTAATATCTACTTATGCAACGATCATAATGTCTACCTATGCAAAAACCATATAATGCCAATCTATACAAACAATTAAAAAAAAAACCAGAGTGCCTATTCTTTGGTTTTATTTCCATCGATTTTTTACACCCTTTATCAAATTCATGTGACTTACATTGTACAATTGAAATTGTACAATCATTCTCTAAATAATTTAACATTGTTTATTATTTATATGTATTAATTAGGAAAGGTGATAGAATTGTATGGTGTATCTGTACTGATATGTGAAAAAAAAGGTTCTTGAATGGCTATCATCACCAGTGACTGCTAAGCAATTAACTTGTTCCATTTTTCCACTTTTTATCCTCATTAGAATTTTCACCAGTTTTTTTATTAATATAAGTCATCTTGTACACAAAGTTTCCATCATTTATATTTATTAAGCTTATATCTTTAATAGTATAAATTTTTTAGATTTATATATGTTTTATGTGTCTTTCGAGCAAAAA